CCCCAAAACCCCAAAACCCCAAAACCCCAAAACCCCAAATTAAATAATTCTTAATAAAGATGATTGATGTTCAACGATTTTTAACTGAAGGCTTGGCAGAATGTCTCCATTTAAAATTCATGGAGATTGAGTCAGCATTCCAGCAGAATCAACTCCAGATGTTAACCCTTAATGATAATTTCATCAAATTGAAGACTGTGCTAGGAGATGATTGAGACTTTGAGTCCATCGAAGTAGATTCCATCTTTGAATTCACTACAAGTGTTCTAGAAGATATTAACAACAAGATGCTTATCCATAGATCAAAAACTCAGAGATTACATAAAGAGATTCTCGGTAGTGATAATCGTGAAGAAATTGATGAAATTGCTAATGATGATATGACAGCTTCTCTAAAGAACTCATCTCCTGATAAGATTGATGATACCAAAAATAATTATGATACATCTGATTTTAAGTCAAACAATGCAACTACAGAGAACGAAGGAACTTATGAAATAATAAATACAAATAAGTTTGAACAAGAAATTGAATCCAATCAGTTCAAGTCATTGAAAAATAGCAATATTGGCTCTAAGAGTGAGAACTCTCTCACAAAACAAAAAGATTATAAAAGTTTACCCTCGAAATCTGTAAAAGAACCAAATGAACTCAAGGAATGAGAAAATGGAAAAGAAGTCAGAACTTCAGAAGAAGATATACATTCAGCTAAAAAGGAACAAACTGAAGAGACTAAAGAAGAAAAGAAGGAGAAGCTAGCTTATAAGACTAAAGAAGAAAGAAATAAAAAGTTGAAAGAATCGAGAGGGAAAAGAAATAAAGACTCAGCAAGTTCGGAAGAAATATCCCATAAAAGAAAGTCTAATGCGAAAATATCTGGTGCAAATCATAGCTCAGTTTCAAGATCTAGTAATGTTCCAAGAAAAGAAGAGACTAAGAAGCATAAAGGCAAAACCCCTAGTTTTGGAAATTCCAATGCTCCTTTATTCTTGAATAACTTTCAAGTTGATGGAGAAGTAGATATTCCTCCAGAAACAATTATTCATTCCGCTAGAGGAGAAGGTACACAATTGGATAAAAGAAATACACCTGAAAACCCAAGTGAAGATCTTACTGACAAGTTCAAAGCTCCTATTTTGAGCCACAGGGAAATGAAATAAATCTGGATCGAAAAAGCCAGTCAGACCAGTGCACAGACAGAGAAATCTTACCAATAAGACATCACCCCATCAGAAGAAATCTCCAAGAAATACTGGATCTTCAACTCCAAAAAGTGGAAAATTTGTAAAGAAAAGACCAAAAGACCATTCTGTTGGGTCTGACATAAGCAAGACAACAAGAGATAAAGTAAAGAAACCAAATAGAAGACAACAATCTGTTGCAAATAAAAATGCTGCTAGAAGTCCTAATATCAAGAATAAAAGCAAGACTTCGAGAATATCTTACAAAGAAGCAACTCCATTTGAATACAGTAAAGATATTCCAAGTTCAAAGAAAGTAAACAAGAGAACACCCAGCAGGTCTTCAAGAGAGATTAGTCCTCATATGAGATTCATGAGTCCTACACAAAGCTCAAGGCATAAGAGAAGTAACCAGAAGAAGCTCCAAGATAAAAATAAGCCTAAATAAATATTATACAGTTGAAGACCTTAGCAAGGGAGTCAAAGATACAAAGAATGAATTATCAAAGAAATTTGAACTAGATAAAATAGATCAAGAAAAAGAAGTCGCATCATATGTTGAAAATGCTACGGAGGATCCAAATACTATTCAGACTGTCAGGCATCACCTTGAGGAACAATATGCTCCAGGGATTGATTTTAAAAGCAATAAGACCCACAGTATCAAAGGATCTTTTAAAAGTGCACAAAATCAAGACGACTCACATGAAAGATCTTTAAGAGGAAATATAAATACACCAGTCTTTCAAGATCCAGCCTCAAAATTATCTACAATCGAAAAGTGTGAAAATGTTGATCAAATGAATGACAGTGAACTCAAAAGAGAACTAGACGATAACATGGAGCTAAATATTTCAGGAGCAAGCTCATCTAAGAAAAAGACAATACCTAAATCGAAAATTGAGAACAAGTCTAAAAACAAAGAGGCTAATGTAAACCCAAAGAAAATCAATAGAATCAATAAAGAAATTGAAATAAAAAAATCTAAAGAAATTAAGGCTCAGAAATCTCCTATCAAATCAAGTCGACAGATGCTAACGCCTGAATCACAGAAATCTCAAGAGGAATCTCCTTTAAAGGAAGAAAGTTCTAAAGGTCATCATGAAATAGTCTCACTACTTAGTAATCCAAATATTCTGTTCAACGATGCTAGCTCCATAAAGTATAGCATAGACAATCAAAATATGTCGAACTTCTCCCTGCCATCTCTTGCTGGAGAAGGTGGAAAAGCTAGATTCGATTCCTTAGATGGAATATGCTATGATCTAATCTGAGCATTTGTTGGGGATAAATTCCCCACATTCATATTTGTAAACAAGAAAGTATGCACAACTTTCCTAGATTTTCAACTTGAAATCAATGACGAAGTGCTAAATGCTCTAAATGAGAGAGTTGAGATGTCAGCATCCTATTCACTACAATCTTTATCTAATGCAGAGGTGACTTCTCCTAGAGAGACTATGAAGAAGCTTAAGAAAAAGAAAGCTATTTTCTCCTTAACAGATACCTGCCATGAAAAATTCTGCGAGTCTATTCAGACAGATATAACTCCTCTAATGGAGAGTCTTTCAAATTATTCTTTGAAGAAATAAGGATATTGTCATCATGAAGCTGTACTTTAGCTTCATGGCAAAGAAATACAGTGGTAGACATGATAACTTATTCATGAGACAAACACATAGATTCCTGTATGAAAATAAAGACGACATTGAGGATGCATTAGATCCTATTCTTCATTTCAAATTTACTAATGATGTTATAACCCAAGTAAAAAGCTTATTGGGAGAGTTCTTAAACGAAAGTTTTGTTGATTCAGAAATTTCAGAATTATCTCTCTTTGATTCATTCACTGCTATCATCATTGAAGCTCTTCAGTATTGAGATTTGATCCCAGCAATTGATGAAAGCGAAGAAATTAGAGAGACCAAACAGCAAATAGAGTTAATTCAAAATATGAAAAAGCATTTGAGCAAATTGAAAGGCATAATTTAGTAATTTTATTTCAATTTACAAATTCTTATAAGGGGTTTTGGGGTTTTGGGGTTTTGGGGTTTTGGGG